GTTACTCACTCTGCAACTGCTTGCCTGTCTGTGTTACTAATTCTACTGCCGTCCACTCACTGCGAATCTGCTTATATGGACGCCGACCAAAACCGGGGTGGGCTTGTCGGGGTTTGAGGTTCCTTGATAATTCCAAATCCACAATAAGGATCTTCTTTGTTCTCTGACAGGAAAATTTATTACTTTCCATTTTTGGAAGTCCTTGCTTTCTACTTAAAGGGAATCGTACTCCAAAATTCTCCCTTTCTCATATTGGTATCTCACACCAATCCCCTCAGAGGGCGTCAACAGGTTCCCCTCTCTCTCTCACAGTGGCATCTCACACCAATCCCTTCAGGGGGCGTCACCGGGCCTCCCCTCCTTCTTCATAGTTTACCTTTGCCTACCGCTCACGCCACCCTTCAGCCAATGAACGCTCAGCAGCGTGGGTGTTTTCAATTATCACTCAAAGGAAAAAAATATATCTTCTTTCCTTTTTTTCTTTTTCTTTCTCTTCTTCTTCCCGACAACAAACCCCTACGACTCTTATCTTAACAGAACGTCGTCTGGAATTCGCCAACGAGATTTTCGTCAAATAATCATTGAGGTTGGTCAATGATTTTCCGCACTCTGTCGCCAATTATTTGTTCCGATAATATTTTTTTTTCATGGCCAGCTCTGACATAAAACAAGTGTTTTTCCCAAATGATATCTCCGCAGATAGTTAATGGTTTAATCTTTCCTTCTTTTTAACTTGTGGGTGGTCCAGCTGACATTTTTCTCGGTCAGTGCGTGACCTGATTAATATTATCACTTAGCATTATCACTTAGGCCACTTGACCAATTTGAAATTTTCATTCTTGCCATGGGCAGACGGCTATCTTTTATACGCTCCGTCGTAACATAAATCAAATTAAATCCGACAGATCCGAGATCTTACTTTCTTCGCGAATGAAAATAAAATCTTTACCACTTTTCTTTGTTAGAAAAGATAACATCGCTCAGTGTCTTTTCGTGGTAGCTTCTTATCACCTTACTTAATTCTCGCCTTTTTTTTCACGCAAACCAAAATAGTGTCACAACCGTAAACAATTTTTTTAAAGAAAAATTCTCGTTTTCCTTATTAACAGCAAAGAATAAATTTCTTACTCTTGAGCATGCAACATACAACTGGCCGTGCGTAAATATACACTTTTGGAGTCAAATTCCAACATTTTGAGGCATTTTCTCTGATTTGTTTATAGTTCTCGCAAACGCAGAGCAAACTGTAAACTTGATTCTTGTAAATAAAAATTTAAAGAGAAGATATGCAAGAAACGATAGTGAATTTTTATTTTCTTTATTTAATGCCATGCATGATACATGCTATGGCGACCATGCATCTTTCGATACATGACCGATTTTTTTCCTACAGTAAGTTGCTATTTCTTTCTGCGGTAGACCGGTTGCCATCCAAGGCAACTACGTGGGGAGGAGGTGAAGGATTCACAACTTTCCGGAGGGTATAAGCACGTAAGTGAATGTAATGGATTCGACTGGAATTCGAACTCGGCTATCCGATTCTTCAATCCAATTCTCTATCCATTGTGAAGTATTTTAACAGAGGACAGAAAAAAAGTGCGGCAGCTAAATCTGAAGGCGCATTGGAAGAGCGAAAGATGCCTTCCAAAAGCTAAGCAAAGTATTAAAAACTTAAAAGAAAACATCGTTAGTGTTATGGGATCCATACTTAATAAATACTGCGCCTCAGGAGTATGGCAGGTATTTGTCATTTTAGTCATTAAATTGTTTTAAAATAATGGGAGCATTTTGTATGGTAAATAATCAAAATCTTAATTTTTCTAAAAAAAAAATGAACGCTCCCTAGTAAAACCAACTGTACTTTGTACACCCTTACCTGTTAACATTTCTTCTCAACATATAGTTTTGATCAGTCAGTGGAAGTTTATTTTAAAAGGAGTTGCGACAGAGGGACGGACTAACAGAACTCACAGAATTGTGTATATAGATTCTTCCGAAGAAACTGCCAGGAAGCCGAATAATAAGAAGAGTCCGTCTTTGTGTATTCTTCAAAAAAAAAAAAAATAAAGAACAATTACATTTTCTATATTTATGTATTCTAGAATATTTGCAAAAACATGATACCACTTCTCAGGCAGCTGTTCGATGTCTTTTGAGCAAAATTCCCCAGGCTTTTTCATCTGTAAAGGTTTTCAAAAGTCTCTTCATTATTTCTTTGCTTTAGAGAAAGTTTTCACCATCAAACTACAGAGCTCAAAAAATATAGTATTCGTTTGGTGTAAATTCAGATGAATATGGCTGGTGGGGTAAAACAGACCAACCAATTTCCATTATCCCCCTCTGTTATTTTGTCTTTTTCGTTGTACTGTCGCGTAAGTTATAATTAATTTATAGCCACGTTACAGCTGCTGGGCTTAAAATTGTGCATTTATTATTTCACTGCATTTCAAGAAGTATAAATAAATAATATCCAAACCCTTACAGTTCTATGACATGTGGAAGATTAATTTCTTTTTCCAAGAAGCAAACATTTTAGAGTGAGATATAGACATTGTTTTTGACGTATGTAAACCACTTTGCATCGCCTCTTAGGATATATTTATGTTAGACCGGATGATATACTCGTCATTAATAAGGGAAATTACACAACTTTAGTTACCTCCATGATTTGCGCATACATAAGATTTAAAATGAGTTTTTTAAATTGAAAAACCATTTCCTGAATCTTTCAATTTAACTTTAAATGAAAGCTTAATGATTAAATTTACTACACCCGATAAGCAAAATACTTTGGTGTATTTACGACATAAATTATGTAGATTAGAAGAGACATGCATTTATTTTCAGTAAAATTGATATCATCAGACATATTTTTGACATTTGTAATCAAAACTTAATTTTCCGTTTTAAAAATCTTGCAAAAATATATACATTTCTGAAATGTTTTTGAGGAATATTAAACAAATTTAAATTTAATATAATCTGATTTGAAATAAATATTACTTATAGCATAAAATGCTGCATGCTAGCATTTCTTAACAACGGAGTTTTGTTTTTCTGACAATCGATTTATTGATAGCGGATTGACCGCCGATCGTGTTCATAGTTAAGAATGGTGCAGCAGACGATAGATTTCATTAGTGTTTTGGGTTTTTTCCCTTACGTGGGGACAACCCTTAAAACACGTAACCTTTTAAGTATAGATTTATCGGTTCGTACATTTATACTTCAGAAATTCTGCATTTATATACATATATTAAACATTTCGAAATTCTTTTAAAAATAGCTTGGGTGTTCGGATTGTAATAATCTTTAAAATATATTAGTAAATCTAGTTTTAGTTAATGACAATATTCCCTAAAAATTATCTCATCGAAATTTAGATTTAAAAGATTCAAAAACTTTATAATTTATTTATTTTAAAATTTGTAAAAATTGTAAAATATGAAAACAAATCTTATAAAAATTCAGTTTTCATCAAAATTTTTTTTCTTCATAAAATATTGTCTTTAATTTATATTATTCATTAAAGTAATTTAAAGAATCTTCAATTAAATAACATTTTAGTTTTATTGCGTTTTTATTTTTTTTATTCATAACAAGTTTTCAGTTAGACCAAGTCAGATTTTGCATAAAAGAATCGCTGATTTGAATTCTTCAAAAAAAGTTCTGTTTTAACTTGTCACTAAAAATTATCTCGATGAATTTCTCAAGTTTTCATAAATTTATGGGGGAGAAACACTTGTGAAATAAACAAATATTTTTACGACTTCTAATACGAAATAAAATCTAAAATAATTTCACTCTTTTGTCAATAAATCCTTAATATTTCAGTAAAATCCGACAATTATTTGATTTTTGCACGAATTTACAAATTAATGTCTGTCACCGCAAAAAAGGGGCTAAATGTTATTTTAACCGCTTATGCAAGATTTTTTTCTTTTTTCATCACAATTTCGAATGTTCTAAATGGAGTAAAACTTTATTTAAATAGTCCAAAATACTTTGACCTTTCATCTTTAATACTAACAACGATTTTGACGATAAAATTATGATTTCGTTACGTCTGGGGCAAGTTTTCATCACAGTATGCTGACTTTTTAGCTATCTTCGTGGAGTTACGTACACGAAGTAATAGTTTTTGTTTTTTAAAATTTTTATCCCGTTTTGGGACGAAATATATTTAAAAAAATGTAATTTGTCTTTGTAATAGAGAAACATTTTTTTTTTCTGTTTTTAATTCTTTCACCCTAACCAAGGCGATAATGCCACTAAGACACAAGTGGCTAAAAGAAGTAGGAGAGAATAAGAAACAATTCATTCAGAAGAAACTACAATAAAAGAACAGGCTCGAGGTAGACATAAGATTGTAACTGCAGTTGCATTTAAATCTTTTTGTTAGGTGTCAGACAAGTAAGAGATCAGAAGAGAGTTCTAGAAGCGTGAGAATAGAAATTATTAAAATAGTACTTACTGATACATCTAGCTATCTCATCTGTAAAAGGATGAGACCTAACTGCCAATCTAGTCAGGCAACTAAGTGTTATGTGTGATAACCTGGCACGATCAGTAGTTTGAACAGACACAAAAACGAATAAAATATATATTATTTACACTATTTACATTGTTCCGACTGTTGTCGCAATCTTTGTTCAGGTGACTGGAATTTAGCTTTATTTGGTCAACCAGGGTAGATTGTTCTAGTTCCAAGGGCCATGCCTCTTCCGGATATCTCACTATCAGTTATCTCACTTTTAACTACTCGGTTTCAACTTGTTCTTTTTGTAGTTGAATAACGCAAAGGCTTTTTCAGTGATTGGAGTCAAGATAGCTAAACGTCTTATCTGAAAAGCTGGAAAAATAGACTGAATTAATCAATGTTTTCTTTTAGATATTAAAACATTTTGTGGGATGGAAAATTATCCCATATGCTGTCCCGCGATTTGGACAATTTTGCTGTTACACTCGATATCTTTCCTGCTTTACTCTTTTTCGCTTTTATGAAACCCACAAACGTGTCAGATCATTTTGTCGCAACCTTTATATCTATCTATCTATCTATCTATCTATCTATCTATCTATCTATCTATCTATCTCAATATATTCACATCAATCTATCACTACTCCTTTCTTTCTTTCTTTCTTTCTTTCTTTCTTTCTTTCTTTCTTTCTTTCCCAGTTTATTCACGTCTATATATCTATGCGAATCTGTTCATATCTATCTATCTAAGTCTGTTCACATCCATCTATTTCCTTCCTTCCTTCCTTCCTTCCTTCCTTCCTTCCTTCCTTCCTTCCTTCCTTCCTTCCTTAATATCTATCTATCTATCTATCTATCTATCTATCTAAGTCTGTTCACATCCATCTATCACTTTTCCTTCCTTCCTTCCTTCCTTCCTTCCTTCCTTCCTTCCTTCCTTCCTTTCTTTCTTTCTTTCTTTCTTTCTTTCTTAATTTCTATCTATCTATCTATCTATCTATCTATCTATCTATCTATCTATCTACACACACACACACACACACACACACACATATATATATATATATATATATATATATATATATATATATATATATATCAGTCTACTCACATCCATCTATCACTTTTCCTTTTCTGTCTTTTTTTCTTTCTTTCTTTCTTTCTTTCTTTCTTTCAATGTTTCTATCTATCTATCACATTTTCTCTCTATCTATGACCATTTCTTTCTTTATATCTATCACGTTTCCTATCTATCTATCTATCTATCTATCTATCTATCTATCTATCTATCTATCTTTGTGTTCCCTTCAATCCATCTCATTCATCCATTCATGTATCTATCCAATGTGGTAACACTGCTTCATTCTTCTAAGTCTGTTTATAATAAAATGGCCGAAAGCCATGACTGCTAGATTAATAGTCAATAAGATCTTCAAATAAACTAAAGCCGATGTTGAAAAAGAAATATGGCTTTGTTTAGTGCAAGGAAATCGGTATTATGATTAATACAGATGAGTTGATAAGCAAAACAAAATTATTTAATTTATAAAACGAGATGAAACAAATTAATATGTACAATTCGAAAATAAAAACATATATATGTATGTGTGTGTGTGTGTGTGTGTTTAGTTGGTTGATTTTGTTTAGTGGCATATCAAACACTATGGGTTATTTAATGCATAAATCTAAATAATTTAAACACAATTCATGGCTTCAACTAAACATTTTGAACGCAATTATAGGCCTTCAACTACAGATTAACATTACATGTACATTTTCGAAAATAAATCAAATTAACATTATATGTACATTTCGAAAATCAAAAAAACAATTCATCAGTTTATTTCTCTTTTATGAAACCTACAAATATGTCAGATCATTTTGTCGCGCCCCGTATATCTTTTATTTTCCTTACAATATATATATATATATATATATATATATATATATATATATATATATATATATATAAACCTAGTGAGACAGACAAACCTACCCAGGTTTCACCTAAGCGGATCGTCAGGGAAAGCTGGCTAAAGAGGCAAGAGGAAACGCATATTTATAGGTGATAGTCAAAATTATAACACCAAAACACCGGGGTGGGGTTAAAGATTTATTCAATTTTCCCTGAAGATCCGCTTAGGTGAAACCTGGGTAGGTTTGTCTGGCTCACTAGGTTTATCTAGGTCTTCTCTACGGTTGTATTGAGCTCTTTTGTTAGTTAGTTGTTTACTCGTGTCGGGGTTTTTCTTTGGGCTTTGAACCTGTATCTGTGCAATTTTTTTCGACAGACTTTCATGTTTTTAGCTCTTTCTTTTTTTAAAACCTTTTTTTTTTTCCCTCGAGATTGATTTGATTATTGGCAAATCAAAAATTCGAGGGTTTTTCGAAACGAGTATAGTTACATATATTTGTATTTATATATATATATATATATATATATATATATATATATATATATATATATATTGTTTCTGTTGTCCTTTTGTGCTTTTTTTTTATACTCCTAATCATGTTTACATATGACATAGGAATGTGTTGTTATGTCTTAGATTATTACTTTACGATGGGAAAGTGACGTAAATGTTCTATTGACGCAAAATCTCGAGTATATTCCGACTTACACAGGAAATCAGGTTACGAAGCATCTTTAGAACGGAACACTGTCGTAAGCCTCCCCCCTCTATTTCGTTGAGGCAATCATTTCTTCTCGTCTATCGAATATACAAATTTATAACTTTCACACAGTTTTAAAACAATAATTTACCTTCATTGTTAGATTCTGCTATTGTCAGGCATTTGCTCTTATGTTCATCGATTGTCTTATAATGTTTCGGACGATGTATTCCCAAACTTGTTTTCGTCAGGAAAAAAAAATAGTACTTATACTTATTTTTTATCTTACACAGTTCACAATATTTATTTTATAAAATCCCCTATTTACATTATTTCCATAGTTCAAACTGTTGTCATCAACTTTATTGTCCTATTCACGTCATTTCGCACGTTGTAAGTTCCAGCCCTTTTCAGGATTTTGCCTATATTTCTGAGATGAGGAATGATAACTATTTACACTATTTACATTGTTCGGACTATTGTCCTCATCCTTATTGTCATATACACGGCGTTTTAGCCGTTGTACTCTCCAGCATTCTCAAAGATCTGTCTTTATTTCTGAGATCAGCAATTATAAATATTTTCACGATTTACATTATTAGGACTATTGTCATATTCACGGCTTTTCAACCGTTGTATGCTCCAGCCTTCTCCGGGATCTGTCTTTATTTTTGAGTCGAGGAATTGTAACTATTTACATTGTTAGGACTGTTGTCCCCATCTTTGTTGTCATATTCACGAGGTTTCGGATGTTGTACGCTTCGACCATCTTCATATACTCACATCGCCCATTAAGTACAATTACATCTTATTCGATTATACGTTCAGTATTTACACTATTTACATTGTTCGACGTTTTAGCTGTTGTACGCTCCAAAACTTAGGAACACCGTGACCAGTGACTAAAATCGTTGGCTGAAGTGACATGACTTGAACCAAGTTGTTTTGCCTGGCCACAGCAAAGGTGAACAAAAACTTGAAGTGTTACAATCAACGATGAAAGTTCGAATAAATCGTCGGTCACCAAAAACCTACAGGAATTAGATCACGTAACCATTGAAGAATTGTTTTAATAGAAATGGGTTGTGTGGAAACCGACTATGATGACCCCTCTTCACAAGCCATGCCACTGTTGTTGGGTTTAAATTTGCCAACACGTTCTTGGACAAAGAAAATTGCTCTTGGCAACAAGTACTATGGAGTGATAAAACAAAAATTGAGCATTTTTGACAAAATGATGTACCAAAGATTTAGCGCAAGAAAGGTGAGTCTTTCCTCTCAAAGAACACAGTGGCAACATTAAAACATAGAGGTGACTCGATGATGTTTTGGGGTTGTTTTATCTCAAGGGACACTGGGCAATTAATTGCAATAAAAAGAATAATGACATCTGCAGACTATATCAAAATTCTGGATGAAAATCTACAACTATCAGCGAAAATCTTCATCTAGGTCGGTGAGTTACTTTCCAGCAAGATAATTCCAAACTTATGTCTAAATCAATGACTGCGTGGGCTCAAGAAAAAGATTACATATCTGCCATAGTCTTCAATGAGTCCTGAATTGTATCCTATTGAAGATCTATGGCAAGAATTGAAAGTTGGAATAAATCGTCCGTCACCAAAAAACATTCAGGAATTAGAACGCGTAACCACTGAAGAATTATGTTAATGGAATGGGTTGTATGCAAACCGACCACGATGACCCCTCTTCACAAGCCATGTCATATTGTTGTTGGGTTTAAATTTGCTAACACGTTCTTGGACAAAGAAAATTGCTCTTGGCAACAAGTACTATTGAGCTTTTTGGGCAAAATGATGTACAGAAGATTTGACGCAAGAAAGGTGAGTCTTTCCTCCCAAAGAACACAGTGGCAATATTAAAACATGGAGGCGGCTCGATGATGTTTTGGGGTTGTTATAGTTCAAGAGGGACTGGGCAATTAATTGCAATAAACGGAATTATGAAATCTGCAGACTATATCAAAATTCTGGATGAAAATCTACAACTATCAGATAAAATCTTCATCTAGGTCGGCGAGTTACTTTCCAGCGAGATAATAATCGCAAACATATGTCTAAATCAATGACTGCGTGACTTCAGAAAAAGATTACATTTTTTTAATGAGTCTTGAATTGTATCCTATTGAAAATCTATGGCAAGAATTGAAAGTTGGAATAAATCGTCCGTCACCAAAAAACATTCAGGAATTAGAATGGGTAACCATTGAAGAATAGAAGAAAATCCCAGAAAAGACTTGTTCAAATCTCATGAAAAACTTTAGAAAACGATTTTAGCAGGTTATAAACAGGAGAGAACATCCTATTGGCTATTAATATTACGAAAACCGTTCCATATTTTCTATTATACATACTGTACGAATAATTTTGTAATTTTCTTATTTTGCATAATTCGACTGTCAAATTTATTCCATTTAAGTTATTATTCTGAAAAGTGAGATTTATATTCCTTTTTGTGTACTTATTAACATATTAAAAAAAAACTGGCATTATACAGGCATTAGCTTCTGAGAAATGAATAAAAATATTCAAAATTGATGGGTGTACGAATAATTTCGTCGTTGACTGTAAGTTACTAAAAGGAATAAACTAAAATGGTAATGCCCAGAAAAGGCATGGCCCGTGAAACTAGAACAATGAACCCCCGTGGACTAAATAAAGAGTTCGGTTCGAAATTACAACTTCGACTTATAAGAACTTATAACCTGAAGAAAGCTGAGTACTACAAGGGCTGAAACGTCATGAATATGACAATAAAGATGAGGACAAAAGTGCGAACAATATAAAAATAGCGTAAATAGTTAAAATACCTCATCTCAAAAATATAATCAGATTCTGAAGAAGGCCGCATAGTACAACGGCGGAAGCGTCGTGAATATGAAAATAAAAATGAGGACAACAGTCCGAACAATATAAATAGTGTAAAAAGTTAAAATACCTCATCACAGAAATATAGACAGAACCTGAAAAACCCCGGGGCGTACAAAGACGGAAACGTCGTGAATGTGACAACAAAGATCAGGACAACAGTCCGAACTATGTAAATAGTTACAATATCTCATCTCAGAAATAGATCTATATACTGAAGAAGGATGGAGCGTACAATGACTGAAACGTCGTGAATATGTCAACAATGATAAGGACAACAGTTCGAGCAATGTCAATAGTTACAATATCTCATCTCAAAAATAGAGCCAGATCCTGAAGAAGGCTGGAGCGTACAACGACCGAAACGTCGTGAATATGACAACAATGATGAGGACAACAGTTCGAACAATACTTCAAATAGTTAAATACCTCATCTCAGTCATAATCAGATATAATATCCTTTCTTGTATTCCATCAGCATGGCTGATGCTAACCCCCATACACTGAGTTATTTCGCTTTTGGGGTCTAACGGTTACCGCCAAAATGAAGTGGGAAATTTACATCGAATCAATTGCTAGGTCTGTTACTAAGTGGTTTGGCTCACTCTGTCGTTGTAAACAATTATTTTCACTAAAATCTATCTTGCACATTTTGATCATGCACTTAATATTGCTGTTACATTTTGTCTGGTACTTCTGCTATGTATTTAGAACATTTTTGTAATGTCAACGAACACTCGGTTGATACTTTCGTAATGTCAGCGAATATTAGTTTTCATTTTTCGTAATGCTCGTTGTCGTAGAGACTTTGTAATCGCAGCTACAACTATAGTAACGCTGTTGAACAATACTGGTGTCTGACGCCTTC